ATCCACTCATGTGCACGACATGCAATTCACCAAATCACAACTAGTATCAGTCCTCTGCTCAACTAACTCAAACCCATCTCACACAAACACTGTCTACATTGCATACACACAATCAACTAACTAACCAACTTACTAACTAACTATCTAACTAACTAACATACTCACCTGTTGTCCTCTCCGTCTCCATCACCTCAGTCTCCGTAATGTCGGTCTCCGTAATATCGATCTCCGTCGTCACTTCCGTCGTGTCAGTAGTCTCCTCACCTACAATCCACCAAATTCAACACCAATAATTATTCAATTATTACACCACTCAACCAGTCATCCAATCTCTCCATCTCTCTAGCTCTCTCTCATGCATTCTCTCCATCAACAAATCAATCCAGTCGACGAACTAATTACTCAACTCATTCACTCAACACACAAACCAATTCGCTCACATCCACAAATACACACAAACACACACACACACACCACATCCTAATACCTCCAAGACACATCAGATTGCTACACACACCAACAAAACAACCTCAATCAATACTCTTCACATTAACACATCTCATCACATCTCAACACAACTCTACACAATTCAGTAATCTCCCAATCACTCACTCAATCACCCACTCCTTAAACCTATCAATCAATCAGTCAATCAATCAATCAATCAATCATTCACACACACACTGACACACACACATACACACGTTCATTGGTGCAGTGAAGTGAAGACCACATTGTGTGCGTGTGAGTCTGATTTCGTTGTTGAGTGTGTGATTGATTGATTGATGAGTGAGTGAGTGAGTGAGTGAGTGAGTGAGTGAGTGAGTAGGTGTGCGAAGCAATGTGGAGAATAGAATTGACCGAATCACCTCACTGTGTGTAGCACCAATCCACCACATGCTCACAGAACACACAACACTCACACCACAATCACAATTCACTCACACAGTGTGTGAGCTCACTCAGATATGACAGGAAGATGTGAGCACCAGCACAATTCATTCAATGATCGTCTCAATCCAATCACTTCATCAAACAACATGCACACTCTATCTATTGCTCACATCCAGTACACTCATCCAACCCACACTCTACACACTCACATTCAACCTGTTCAATTCTACACACACACGCACGCACGCACGCGCACACACACATGACACTCACAATCACACAATGTCACATCCATCCACTCATGTGCACGACATGCAATTCACCAAATCACAACTAGTATCAGTCCTCTGCTCAACTAACTCAAACCCATCTCACACAAACACTGTCTACATTGCATACACACAATCAACTAACTAACCAACTTACTAACTAACTATCTAACTAACTAACATACTCACCTGTTGTCCTCTCCGTCTCCATCACCTCAGTCTCCGTAATGTCGGTCTCCGTAATATCGATCTCCGTCGTCACTTCCTTCGTGTCAGTAGTCTCCTCACCTACAATCCACCAAATTCAACATCAATAATTATTCAATTATTACACCACTCAACCAGTCATCCAATCTCTCCATCTCTCTAGCTCTCTCTCATGCATTCTCTCCATCAACAAATCAATCCAGTCGACGAACTAATTACTCAACTCATTCACTCAACACACAAACCAATTCGCTCACATCCACAAATACACACAAACACACACACACACACACCACATCCTAATACCTCCAAGACACATCAGACTGCTACACACATCAACAAAACAACCTCAATCAATACTATTCACATTAACACATCACATCACATCTCAACACAACTCTACACAATTCAGTACTCTCCCAATCACTCACTCTATCACTCACTCCTTAAACCTATCAATCAATCAGTCAATCAATCAAACAATCAATCATTCACACACTCACTGACACACACACATACACACGTTCATTGGTGCAGTGAAGTGAAGACCACATTGTGTGCGTGTGAGTCTGATTTCGTTGTTGAGTGTGTGATTGATTGATTGATGAGTGAGTGAGTGAGTGAATGAGTGAGGGAGTGAGTGAGTGAGTGAGTGAGTGAGTGAGTGAGTGAGTGAGTAGGTGTGCGAAGCAATGTGGAGAATAGAATTGACCGAATCACCTCACTGTGTGTAGCACCAATCCACCACATGCTCACAGAACACACAACACTCACACCACAATCACAATTCACTCACACAGTGTGTGAGCTCACTCAGATATGACAGGAAGATGTGAGCACCAGCACAATTCATTCAATGATCGTCTCAATCCAATCACTTCATCAAACAACATGCACACTCTATCTATTGCTCACATCCAGTACACTCATCCAACCCACACTCTACACACTCACATTCAACCTGTTCAAGTCTTACACACACACACACGCACGCACGCACGCGCACACACACATGACACTCACAATCACACAATGTCACATCCATCCACTCATGTGCACGACATGCATTTCACCAAATCACAACTAGTATCAGTCCTCTGCTCAACTAACTCAAACCCATCTCACACAAACACTGTCTACATTGCATACACACAATCAACTAACTAACCAACTTACTAACTAACTATCTAACTAACTAACATACTCACCTGTTGTCCTCTCCGTCTCCATCACCTCAGTCTCCGTAATGTCGGTCTCCGTAATATCGATCTCCGTCGTCACTTCCGTCGTGTCAGTAGTCTCCTCACCTACAATCCACCAAATTCAACATCAATAATTATTCAATTATTACACCACTCAACCAGTCATCCAATCTCTCCATCTCTCTAGCTCTCTCTCATGCATTCTCTCCATCAACAAATCAATCCAGTCGACGAACTAATTACTCAACTCATTCACTCAACACACAAACCAATTCGCTCACATCCACAAATACACACAAACACACACACACACACACCACATCCTAATACCTCCAAGACACATCAGACTGCTACACACACCAACAAAACAACCTCAATCAATACTCTTCACATTAACACATCACATCACATCTCAACACAACTCTACACAATTCAGCACTCTCCCAATCACTCACTCAATCACCCACTCCTTAAACCTATTAATCAATCATTCACACACTCACTGACACACACACATACACACGTTCATTGGTGCAGTGAAGTGAAGACCACATTGTGTGCGTGTGAGTCTGATTTCGTTGTTGAGTGTGTGATTGATTGATTGATGAGTGAGTGAGTGAGTGAGTGAGTGTGTGAGTGAGTAGGTGTGCGAAGCAATGTGGAGAATAGAATTGACCGAATCACCTCACTGTGTGTAGCACCAATCCACCACATGCTCACAGAACACACAACACTCACACCACAATCACAATTCACTCACACAGTGTGTGAGCTCACTCAGATATGACAGGAAGATGTGAGCACCAGCACAATTCATTCAATGATCGTCTCAATCCAATCACTTCATCAAACAACATGCACACTCTATCTATTGCTCACATCCACTACACTCATCCAACCCACACTCTACACACTCACATTCAACCTGTTCAATTCTTACACACACACACGCACGCACGCGCACACACACATGACACTCACAATCACACAATGTCACATCCATCCGCTCATGTGCACGACATGCATTTCACCAAATCACAACTAGTATCAGTCCTCTGCTCAACTAACTCAAACCCATCTCACACAAACACTGTCTACATTGCATACACACAATCAACTAACTAACCAACTTACTAACTAACTATCTAACTAACTAACATACTCACCTGTTGTCCTCTCCGTCTCCATCACCTCAGTCTCCGTAATGTCGGTCTCCGTAATATCGATCTCCGTCGTCACTTCCGTCGTGTCAGTAGTCTCCTCACCTACAATCCACCAAATTCAACATCAATAATTATTCAATTATTACACCACTCAACCAGTCATCCAATCTCTCCATCTCTCTAGCTCTCTCTCATGCATTCTCTCCATCAACAAATCAATCCAGTCGACGAACTAATTACTCAACTCATTCACTCAACACACAAACCAATTCGCTCACATCCACAAATACACACAAACACACACACACACACACCACATCCTAATACCTCCAAGACACATCAGACTGCTACACACACCAACAAAACAACCTCAATCAATACTCTTCACATTAACACATCACATCACATCTCAACACAACTCTACACAATTCAGCACTCTCCCAATCACTCACTCTATCACCCACTCCTTAAACCTATCAATCAATCAGTCAATCAATCAAACAATCAATCATTCACACACTCACTGACACACACACATACACACGTTCATTGGTGCAATGAAGTGAAGACCACATTGTGTGCGTGTGAGTCTGATTTCGATGTTGAGTGTGTGATTGATTGATTGATGAGTGAGTGAGTGAGTGAATGAGTGAGGGAGTGAGTGAGTGAGTGAGTGAGTGAGTGAGTGAGTGAGTGAGTGAGTGAGTGAGTGAGTGAGTGAGTGAGTGAGTGAGTGAGTAGGTGTGCGAAGCAATGTGGAGAATAGAATTGACAGAATCACCTCACTGTGTGTAGCACCAATCCACCACATGCTCACAGAACACACAACACTCACACCACAATCACAATTCACTCACACAGTGTGTGAGCTCACTCAGATATGACAGGAAGATGTGAGCACCAGCACAATTCATTCAATGATCGTCTCAATCCAATCACTTCATCAAACAACATGCACACTCTATCTATTGCTCACATCCAGTACACTCATCCAACCCACACTCTACACACTCACATTCAACCAGTTCAAGTCTTACACACACACACACGCACGCACGCGCACACACACATGACACTCACAATCACACAATGTCACATCCATCCACTCATGTGCACGACATGCATTTCACCAAATCACAACTAGTATCAGTCCTCTGCTCAACTAACTCAAACCCATCTCACACAAACACTGTCTACATTGCATACACACAATCAACTAACTAACCAACTTACTAACTAACTATCTAACTAACTAACATACTCACCTGTTGTCCTCTCCGTCTCCATCACCTCAGTCTCCGTAATGTCGGTCTCCGTAATATCGATCTCCGTCGTCACTTCCGTCGTGTCAGTAGTCTCCTCACCTACAATCCACCAAATTCAACACCAATAATTATTCAATTATTACACCACTCAACCAGTCATCCAATCTCTCCATCTCTCTAGCTCTCTCTCATGCATTCTCTCCATCAACAAATCAATCCAGTCGACGAACTAATTACTCAACTCATTCACTCAACACACAAACCAATTCGCTCACATCCACAAATACACACAAACACACACACACACACACCACATCCTAATACCTCCAAGACACATCAGACTGCTACACACACCAACAAAACAACCTCAATCAATACTCTTCACATTAACACATCACATCACATCTCAACACAACTCTACACAATTCAGTACTCTCCCAATCACTCACTCTATCACTCACTCCTTAAACCTATGAATCAATCAGTCAATCAATCAATCAATCAATCATTCACACACTCACTCACACACACACATACACACGTTCATTGGTGCAGTGAAGTGAAGACCACATTGTGTGCGTGTGAGTCTGATTTCGTTGTTGAGTGTGTGATTGATTGATTGATGAGTGAGTGAGTGAGTGAGTGAGTGAGTGAGTGAGTGAGTGAGTGAGTGAGTGAGTAGGTGTGCGAAGCAATGTGGAGAATAGAATTGACCGAATCACCTCACTGTGTGTAGCACCAATCCACCACATGCTCACAGAACACACAACACTCACACCACAATCACAATTCACTCACACAGTGTGTGAGCTCACTCAGATATGACAGGAAGATGTGAGCACCAGCACAATTCATTCAATGATCGTCTCAATCCAATCACTTCATCAAACAACATGCACACTCTATCTATTGCTCACATCCAGTACACTCATCCAACCCACACTCTACACACTCACATTCAACCTGTTCAATTCTTACACACACACACATGACACTCACAATCACACAATGTCACATCCATCCACTCATGTGCACGACATGCAATTCACCAAATCACAACTAGTATCAGTCCTCTGCTCAACTAACTCAAACCCATCTCACACAAACACTGTCTACATTGCATACACACAATCAACTAACTAACCAACTTACTAACTAACTATCTAACTAACTAACATACTCACCTGTTGTCCTCTCCGTCTCCATCACCTCAGTCTCCGTAATGTCAGTCTCCGTAATATCGATCTCCGTCGTCACTTCCGTCGTGTCAGTAGTCTCCTCACCTACAATCCACCAAATTCAACACCAATAATTATTCAATTATTACACCACTCAACCAGTCATCCAATCTCTCCATCTCTCTATCTCTCTCTCATGCATTCTCTCCATCAACAAATCAATCCAGTCGACGAACTAATTACTCAACTCATTCACTCAACACACAAACCAATTCGCTCACATCCACAAATACACACAAACACACACACACACACACCACATCCTAATACCTCCAAGACACATCAGACTGCTACACACACCAACAAAACAACCTCAATCAATACTCTTCACATTAACACATCACATCACATCTCAACACAACTCTACACAATTCAGCACTCTCCCAATCACTCACTCTATCACCCACTCCTTAAACCTATCAATCAATCAGTCAATCAATCAAACAATCAATCATTCACACACTCACTGACACACACACATACACACGTTCATTGGTGCAATGAAGTGAAGACCACATTGTGTGCGTGTGAGTCTGATTTCGATGTTGAGTGTGTGATTGATTGATTGATGAGTGAGTGAGTGAGTGAATGAGTGAGGGAGTGAGTGAGTGAGTGAGTGAGTGAGTGAGTGAGTGAGTGAGTGAGTGAGTGAGTGAGTGAGTGAGTGAGTGAGTGAGTGAGTGAGTAGGTGTGCGAAGCAATGTGGAGAATAGAATTGACAGAATCACCTCACTGTGTGTAGCACCAATCCACCACATGCTCACAGAACACACAACACTCACACCACAATCACAATTCACTCACACAGTGTGTGAGCTCACTCAGATATGACAGGAAGATGTGAGCACCAGCACAATTCATTCAATGATCGTCTCAATCCAATCACTTCATCAAACAACATGCACACTCTATCTATTGCTCACATCCAGTACACTCATCCAACCCACACTCTACACACTCACATTCAACCAGTTCAAGTCTTACACACACACACACGCACGCACGCGCACACACACATGACACTCACAATCACACAATGTCACATCCATCCACTCATGTGCACGACATGCATTTCACCAAATCACAACTAGTATCAGTCCTCTGCTCAACTAACTCAAACCCATCTCACACAAACACTGTCTACATTGCATACACACAATCAACTAACTAACCAACTTACTAACTAACTATCTAACTAACTAACATACTCACCTGTTGTCCTCTCCGTCTCCATCACCTCAGTCTCCGTAATGTCGGTCTCCGTAATATCGATCTCCGTCGTCACTTCCGTCGTGTCAGTAGTCTCCTCACCTACAATCCACCAAATTCAACACCAATAATTATTCAATTATTACACCACTCAACCAGTCATCCAATCTCTCCATCTCTCTAGCTCTCTCTCATGCATTCTCTCCATCAACAAATCAATCCAGTCGACGAACTAATTACTCAACTCATTCACTCAACACACAAACCAATTCGCTCACATCCACAAATACACACAAACACACACACACACACACCACATCCTAATACCTCCAAGACACATCAGACTGCTACACACACCAACAAAACAACCTCAATCAATACTCTTCACATTAACACATCACATCACATCTCAACACAACTCTACACAATTCAGTACTCTCCCAATCACTCACTCTATCACTCACTCCTTAAACCTATGAATCAATCAGTCAATCAATCAATCAATCAATCATTCACACACTCACTCACACACACACATACACACGTTCATTGGTGCAGTGAAGTGAAGACCACATTGTGTGCGTGTGAGTCTGATTTCGTTGTTGAGTGTGTGATTGATTGATTGATGAGTGAGTGAGTGAGTGAGTGAGTGAGTGAGTGAGTGAGTGAGTGAGTAGGTGTGCGAAGCAATGTGGAGAATAGAATTGACCGAATCACCTCACTGTGTGTAGCACCAATCCACCACATGCTCACAGAACACACAACACTCACACCACAATCACAATTCACTCACACAGTGTGTGAGCTCACTCAGATATGACAGGAAGATGTGAGCACCAGCACAATTCATTCAATGATCGTCTCAATCCAATCACTTCATCAAACAACATGCACACTCTATCTATTGCTCACATCCAGTACACTCATCCAACCCACACTCTACACACTCACATTCAACCTGTTCAATTCTTACACACACACACATGACACTCACAATCACACAATGTCACATCCATCCACTCATGTGCACGACATGCAATTCACCAAATCACAACTAGTATCAGTCCTCTGCTCAACTAACTCAAACCCATCTCACACAAACACTGTGTACATTGCATACACACAATCAACTAACTAACCAACTTAATAACTAACTATCTAACTAACTAACATACTCACCTGTTGTCCTCTCCGTCTCCATCACCTCAGTCTCCGTAATGTCGGTCTCCGTAATATCGATCTCCGTCGTCACTTCCGTCGTGTCAGTAGTCTCCTCACCTACAATCCACCAAATTCAACATCAATAATTATTCAATTATTACACCACTCAACCAGTCATCCAATCTCTCCATCTCTCTAGCTCTCTCTCATGCATTCTCTCCATCAACAAATCAATCCAGTCGACGAACTAATTACTCAACTCATTCACTCAACACACAAACCAATTCGCTCACATCCACAAATACACACAAACACACACACACACACACCACATCCTAATACCTCCAAGACACATCAGACTGCTACACACACCAACAAAACAACCTCAATCAATACTCTTCACATTAACACATCACATCACATCTCAACACAACTCTACACAATTCAGCACTCTCCCAATCACTCACTCAATCACCCACTCCTTAAACCTATCAATCAATCAGTCAATCAATCAATCAATCAATCATTCACACACTCACTCACACACACACATACACACGTTCATTGGTGCAGTGAAGTGAAGACCACATTGTGTGCGTGTGAGTCTGATTTCGTTGTTGAGTGTGTGATTGATTGATTGATGAGTGAGTGAGTGAGTGAGTGAGAGAGTGAGTGAGTGAGTGAGTGAGTGAGTGAGTGAGTGAGTGAGTGAGTGAGTGAGTGAGTGAGTGAGTGAGTGAGTAGGTGTGCGAAGCAATGTGGAGAATAGAATTGACCGAATCACCTCACTGTGTGTAGCACCAATCCACCACATGCTCACAGAACACACAACACTCACACCACAATCACAATTCACTCACACAGTGTGTGAGCTCACTCAGATATGACAGGAAGATGTGAGCACCAGCACAATTCATTCAATGATCGTCTCAATCCAATCACTTCATCAAACAACATGCACACTCTATCTATTGCTCACATCCAGTACACTCATCCAACCCACACTCTACACACTCACATTCAACCTGTTCAATTCTTACACACACACACATGACACTCACAATCACACAATGTCACATCCATCCACTCATGTGCACGACATGCAATTCACCAAATCACAACTAGTATCAGTCCTCTGCTCAACTAACTCAAACCCATCTCACACAAACACTGTCTACATTGCATACACACAATCAACTAACTAACCAACTTAATAACTAACTATCTAACTAACTAACATACTCACCTGTTGTCCTCTCCGTCTCCATCACCTCAGTCTCCGTAATGTCGGTCTCCGTAATATCGATCTCCGTCGTCACTTCCGTCGTGTCAGTAGTCTCCTCACCTACAATCCACCAAATTCAACATCAATAATTATTCAATTATTACACCACTCAACCAGTCATCCAATCTCTCCATCTCTCTAGCTCTCTCTCATGCATTCTCTCCATCAACAAATCAATCCAGTCGACGAACTAATTACTCAACTCATTCACTCAACACACAAACCAATTCACTCACATCCACAAATACACACAAACACACACACACACACACCACATCCTAATACCTCCAAGACACATCAGACTGCTACACACATCAACAAAACAACCTCAATCAATACTATTCACATTAACACATCACATCACATCTCAACACAACTCTACACAATTCAGTACTCTCCCAATCACTCACTCAATCACCCACTCCTTAAACCTATCAATCAATCAGTCAATCAATCAAACAATCAATCATTCACACACTGACTGACACACACACATACACACGTTCATTGGTGCAGTGAAGTGAAGACCACATTGTGTGCGTGTGAGTCTGATTTTGTTGTTGAGTGTGTGATTGATTGATTGATGAGTGAGTGAGTGAGTGAATGAGTGAGTGAGTGAGTGAGTAGGTGTGCGAAGCAATGTGGAGAATAGAATTGACCGAATCACCTCACTGTGTGTAGCATCAATCCACCACATGCTCACAGAACACACAACACTCACACCACAATCACAATTCACTCACACAGTGTGTGAGCTCACTCAGATATGACAGGAAGATGTGAGCACCAGCACAATTCATTCAATGATCGTCTCAATCCAATCACTTCATCAAACAACATGCACACTCTATCTATTGCTCACATCCAGTACACTCATCCAACCCACACTCTACACACTCACATTCAACCTGTTCAATTCTTACACACACACACATGACACTCACAATCACACAATGTCACATCCATCCGCTCATGTGCACGACATGCATTTCACCAAATCACAACTAGTATCAGTCCTCTGCTCAACTAACTCAAACCCATCTCACACAAACACTGTGTACATTGCATACACACAATCAACTAACTAACCAACTTACTAACTAACTATCTAACTAACTAACATACTCACCTGTTGTCCTCTCCGTCTCCATCACCTCAGTCTCCGTAATGTCGGTCTCCGTAATATCGATCTCCGTCGTCACTTCCGTCGTGTCAGTAGTCTCCTCACCTACAGTCCACCAAATTCAACATCAATAATTATTCAATTATTACACCACTCAACCAGTCATCCAATCTCTCCATCTCTCTAGCTCTCTCTCATGCATTCTCTCCATCAACAAATCAATCCAGTCGACGAATTAATTACTCAACTCATTCACTCAACACACAAACCAATTCGCTCACATCCACAAATACACACAAACACACACACACACCACATCCTAATACTTCCAAGACACATCAGACTGCTACACACATCAACAAAACAACCTCAATCAATACTCTTCACATTAACACATCACATCACATCTCAACACAACTCTACACAATTCAGCACTCTCACAATCACTCACTCAATCACCCACTCCTTAAACCTATCAATCAATCAGTCAATCAATCAAACAATCAATCATTCACACACTCAATGAAACACACATTTACACGTTCATTGGTGCAGTGAAGTGAAGACCACATTGTGTGCGTGTGAGTCTGATTTCGTTGTTGAGTGTGTGATTGATTGATTGATGAGTGAGTGAGTGAGTTAGTGAATGAGTGAGTGAGTGAGTGAGTGAGTGAGTGAGTGAGTGAGTGAGTGAGTGAGTGAGTGAGTGAGTGAGTAGGTGTGCGAAGCAATGTGGAGAATAGAATTGACCGAATCACCTCACTGTGTGTAGCACCAATCCACCACATGCTCACAGAACACACAACACTCACACCACAATCACAATTCACTCACACAGTGTGTGAGCTCACTCAGATATGACAGGAAGATGTGAGCACCAGCACAATTCATTCAATGATCGTCTCAATCCAATCACTTCATCAAACAACATGCACACTCTATCTATTGCTCACATCCAGTACACTCATCCAACCCACACTCTACACACTCACATTCAACCTGTTCAATTCTTACACACACACACATGACACTCACAATCACACAATGTCACATCCATCCACTCATGTGCACGACATGCAATTCACCAAATCACAACTAGTATCAGTCCTCTGCTCAACTAACTCAAACCCATCTCACACAAACACTGTCTACATTGCATACACACAATCAACTAACTAACCAACTTACTAACTAACTAACATACTCACCTGTTGTCCTCTCCGTCTCCATCACCTCAGTCTCCGTAATGTCGGTCTCCGTAATATCGATCTCCGTCGTCACTTCCGTCGTGTCAGTAGTCTCCTCACCTACAATCCACCAAATTCAACATCAATAATTATTCAATTATTACACCACTCAACCAGTCATCCAATCTCTCCATCTCTCTAGCTCTCTCTCATGCATTCTCTCCATCAACAAATCAATCCAGTCGACGAACTAATTACTCAACTCATTCACTCAACACACAAACCAATTCGCTCACATCCACAAATACACACAAACACACACACACACACACCACATCCTAATACCTCCAAGACACATCAGACTGCTACACACATCAACAAAACAACCTCAATCAATACTATTCACATTAACACATCACATCACATCTCAACACAACTCTACACAATTCAGTACTCTCCCAATCACTCACTCAATCACCCACTCCTTAAACCTATCAATCAATCAGTCAATCAATCAATCAATCAATCATTCACACACACATACACGCGTTCATTGGTGCAGTGAAGTGAAGACCACATTGTGTGCGTGTGAGTCTGATTTCGTTGTTGAGTGTGTGATTGATTGATTGATGAGTGAGTGAGTGAGTGAGTGAGTGAATGAGTGAGGGAGTGAGTGAGTGAGTGAGTGAGTGAGTGAGTGAGTGAGTGAGTGAGTGAGTGAGTGAGTGAGTGAGTGAGTGAGTGAGTGAGTGAGTGAGTGAGTAGGTGTGCGAAGCAATGTGGAGAATAGAATTGACCGAATCACCTCACCTTGTGTAGCACCAATCCACCACATGCTCACAGAACACACAACACTCACACCACAATCACAATTCACTCACACAGTGTGTGAGCTCACTCAGATATGACAGGAAGATGTGAGCACCAGCACAATTCATTCAATGATCGTCTCAATCCAATCACTTCATCAAACAACATGCACACTCTATCTATTGCTCACATCCAGTACACTCATCCAACCCACACTCTACACACTCACATTCAACCTGTTCAATTCTTACACACACACACATGACACTCACAATCACACAATGTCACATCCATCCACTCATGTGCACGACATGCAATTCACCAAATCACAACTAGTATCAGTCCTCTGCTCAACTAACTCAAACCCATCTCACACAAACACTGTCTACATTGCATACACACAATCAACTAACTAACCAACTTAATAACTAACTATCTAACTAACTAACATACTCACCTGTTGTCCTCTCCGTCTCCATCACCTCAGTCTCCGTAATGTCGGTCTCCGTAATATCGATCTCCGTCGTCACTTCCGTCGTGTCAGTAGTCTCCTCACCTACAATCCACCAAATTCAACATCAATAATTATTCAATTATTACACCACTCAACCAGTCATCCAATCTCTCC